GAAGAACTCAAGCTGAATCTTTAGGAAATAAAAAAGCAAAAAATTAAAAAAATAATGAGGAATGTTGTGATGTTTATTTAGTGGATGAAGGTAAATGATTTCTTTGGTCCTCTGCAATAACGACATAAATCAAAACAAAAACCTTTTCTACTGTACAGTGGCGAATATCTCTAATCCTTGTCTAATCCATTTCTAATCCTTACTAAATTTTTCTATAAAGCAGTCATAAAGATGCGGTAAGGATTAAAAGAGAATTATAAATATTCGCTAAATGAGCGGTTTACACGAAAGCTGAAGCGATAGCAGTCAGAAAAGCAGCAAAGGAAAATGTTCTCAATTTTTTAATTTATGTACTTGGGTTCAGTTCGACTACGGCCTCAGCGGATTTAATTTTTATAAACAACTAGCGAATTCCCGGCGTGCTTCACTGCGCCTTACAAGTATTTTTCTGTTGTTTGATACCCGTATTGTAATATTTCATTTATTTTATGAATTTAATTAAATACAAGTTTTCAAACAGGTGGCAGCCCTCCTCAAAAATATTTTCGGAAGTAAACTTTTCTAAAACTCTTCAGTTTGATGCCCATATTGTAATATTTAATTTATCTTATCATTTATATTAAATTAAAGTTTCCAAACATGTGGCAACCTCCACAAAAATATTTTCGGCTGTAAGCCTTCTTTTAAGCCTCTTTATTTTGACAGCCATATTGCAATATTTACTTTATCTTATCAATTTAATTAAACTGCAATTTTAAAACAGGTGGCAACTCTGTAAATTTTTTCTTCTATATTTTAATTTGGGCCTCTAGCAATACAGGCAGACAGACAGACAAAAATTCTTAAAATTGTCTATTTGGCTTCTATTGCTCTAATAAAACCCGAGGCTATAAGCGGCGATAAAGGGCGTCTAACACCCTGCGGAAGGGATCACTATTCTGGACAGAATCGGCCCGAGTACCGAAAACGCCAATGCCAGTTCACGGAAATTGACTTTTACCGCATTTTTAAAATCCACTCTTCCGACAAAAGTGACTAGAAACTTAATATTGTTCTAGGCAGATGAGATATCGACCTTTACTGATGGTTAAAAAAAATGGAACAACATTTGATGTCGTCCTTCAGAAATTGCCGTTTAGGGAAGCCTAAGCATGATCAATCTATGTAGCTCAACCAAAACTCGCTTGAGCTGTTATCAAGGGCTTTGGGTCGGTAACAACCAACCTGACATGCGTTCAATAATGCAGAAGATGCTCGCAATCTCTTGGGCATCCTATAATCAATCTGTACTAAATATACATGTCCCGGGACAGACTGGTATTTATGGAAATTAGGAAGTTGACGAGGGGGCGAGAAAGGAATCTGCGATAGGATTAAGGCAAGTGAGTCCCTTACGTTAAATAATCTTACAAGTTTGAGGTATCACCATTCCGATAAAAAAAAAGAAATATCGAGAATGGTTCTCGTGATCCAAAGTTAGCCGGTAACACATACAAAAAAAAAAAAAAATCCGATCAATTGATATCTTCCTTCTTTTTTTGAAGTCGGTTAAAGAAGATATCAAGGCCAGCGTAATTAATCAAAAACCAAGCATACCCACCTATATTTTGGGCATACTTTATGAACAAATTTCGATTATTGGTCGCATTTTTGGGACATTTAGCCACACATCCGAATTTTCTTCGTAAAATACCAAAAAAAAAAACACAACTTTCGAAGGTTAAATTACCGCTCAAAGGACACATGGTTATACTAGCGTTGTCCAAAAAGGGCTGCCGGGAGCCAATTGGAGCCTTTGGCTGTAACAAATGCGTCTTGAATTCTATTGGTATTTTGCTCACCGGTCATTGCACCATCAGAAAATAAATTTATCTGGGAGCTTAAATTCTGTTAAAAATTATTACACAGGGAAGGATTTCGCGAATATTCTTGGGATACTCGGCATAGCACACTGAGAAAAGAGCTTGGTTTCGTCCTCAACCCATGATTTGATTAGAGTTTCTTTTAATAAAAATAATATTGAGGTCGCTGCGTTTTGAGTTAGAATACATAAATTCAAATACATACATTTTTAAATTAAAAAACATATGCATATGCACTTAATTTTACACTAAATCGTCCACCTATGCTAGTCCCTGTAATTTAATAAGCCGACTTCCTTCGTTAAAGCTCAATTCAAATGTTCTCTTCTATGCACTAATATGATTAGGTGATTCCAATTCAACTTTTGAAGCTGAAAAACTGGAGTACAGAAATTATTTCTTATACACATTTTGTCAGTTCGGCAATAGTTTTGAGATTTTCGAGTCATTCGCGACTTTCCAGTTTCCAATTTCAAGAGAATTAAATGCATTTTTTTATTAATTTATTAAGAAAGTATTTTATAATTCAAATAATTATGCAAATTTATTAGTTTGTAATTTATATTTCTAAATATATTGGCTTTACAAATTGAATGTCCAATGGCGCTCTTAAAACATCAGTAATCACAAACAAAACTTAACTGACGGTTTCACCAGTAATTTACTTAAGTGCAATAAAATAAAATAAACTACATTTTTTACTTAAAATTGCTTTTGTGAAATTGGAGCATATTCATATTTCTTGGCAGATATTAATTGGCTCTTACATCCAATTTCACGAAAGCAGTTTAAGTAAAAAATGATTTTAATTTTTTTTTTAATTTCATATGGAAATTGACAGAAAATAAGAAATCATTTTCCACTTAAATTGCTGGTGGAACCGGCGGTTAGAGTCGACTTTATTTTGACTATGAATCTACGAATATACCCCATTGCCCATACGTCTTATTATCTTTTTCTTCAGTATTAAAGAAAATTAGTTTTTCGTTTAAATTTGCTTCAATTTAGTGTTTTTTTTTTGATTGATTGTTGACTGGAACTCTAGTTGACGTCTGTCTTATGTTTTTTTTTGTTTTTTTTATTAATTTGCTTATTTCTCTAACAATATATTTGCACTTGAATTATACGTACATACATACATACATACATACATATGCATGAATGTACAAACACTTGTAATTTCCAGCTGCACTCAACCTAAAATATTTTTTTGCTTCATTCATTTTTTAGCAGTTTCATCAGCACTTTTAATAATTTATTGTTAATGATATGTTTCCTACATATCGCACATGATCTTCAAAAGTGACACAACTCAAAATTACACGTTCGCCAGAAAATGTGAAAAAGTATTTCTTATTTACGTTAGGTTTTTTCAGCAAATTATAGTAAGAATTTACTCTAGCTTTTGCTGAAAGGTAAATAAAGGCTCTGTGTACATATTGAGTGC